AAGTGGACTAAAAAGGTTTGCTGAATTATTAAAACTAGAATTCCCATGGCAGTCATTTTGATGGTTCTGAGATTTCAAAGTGAAATAACTTTATTTACATTAATCTAATGTTGGTCATGTTAAATGCCTTTTTCCTGTTTCTATATCCTTCATTTTCACATAGGTTTTTAAATAAAATAAATACTGAATTTCTATATTCAAATATTGAGTTCCGCGCTTTATAGAGTAGCCCAAGAAAAGCCTTGTTTTGGCTTAGAAAACATGCAAATTGAACCGGAAGGACAGGCTTTGATTAATTGCTTGCTTTAAGTAAAAAAAAAAAAGAAAGTAAGTCTTCCATACTTCAATCTTAAAGTCATAGGGAAGCGGCTGTTCCAATGGTTGCAGTCACGAATTATCCCGAGTGGTGCACGACTTTACACGAGTGAATAAAGTGAATGTGATTGGTCGATTATCAAGGGGGCGGGATTGTTGTGGTGGAAGGTTTGCAAGCAGTTTGGTTGTGGTCGGTGTCTTGGAAGCATCTTGCTAACGAGTTAGCAACTTAGTGCTAGTAGGTCCCTAATGGGAAATTACATTGGGACCAATTAGCACTTAGCAACGACCCTGTATAGGAACGCTATGGACAGCGGAAATATGCAAGATGAGGAGAGTTTTGTGTCAGAGGTGGATGAGTCTCCTCCGTCATACATTTTTAATTTAGAGGAGGAAAGCGGGGATGAAGTTGTTATGGAAGATATATGATTGGCCAAATTTAGGTGTACAAGCTGACGTATAACTAACTGGCCTGCATTAAATAACAGAAAAAAACAGATTTTAAGAAAGGATTTTTTTTTTTTTTATAGAAATTTTCTAACTTTAAGGACAATATCGTCTGATAAAGAATACATTTATATACCGTACATGTTTAAGCCAGAATGATTTGACATTTAAATTAGGGCTGCAACAACGAATCGATAAAAGCGTTGGCAACGAATTTAATCATCGATTAGTTGTGTCGCGTGATTAATGCGTCATCCGCCGCCGCCGTCATCACATCGACTTGACTGAAACGGGGGAAGAAAAAAAAATATGGCGGAGCGAACCAGCGCTGCAGGTGCAGTGTTGCCAACTTTTCAGACCCCTCCAGCGACTATTTTTCAAAAAAGCAACTAGCGACAAATCTGGCGACTTTTTACGGTGTCACTGGCGGCTTTTGGAGACTCTTACGTGAAAGCATGTATCGTTCCTACTCTGCCGTGGGGCGCCTACCCCATCCCAACCCCGTTCTCCCACAGGAGTCCCTCTCAGCGCTGCAGTCAGAGCCGCAGGATTTTAGTGAGGAGTTTATCCTCAGCGTCCAGACTGCGAAGGAGGCGCGCATGCGCCGGGATTGACGCTGAGGGTAAACATCTGAGGGTAAACATCCTGCAGCTCTGACTGCAGCGCTGAGAGGGACTCCTGTGGGAGAACGGGGTTGGGATGGGGTAGGCGCCTCACGGTAGAGTAGGAACGATACATTCTTTCACTTAAGAGTCTCCAAAAGCCGCCAGTGACACCGTAAA